TGTTACTCAAGAGGCTGGTGGTAATATATGGTTCATGATAATAGGCTGTTAGCAGTCCTCATAAAGTAGGATAATAAAGGCACGTCTGTCCTTCTGTGCCACATGTACCTACCTGTGAAGAGGTTTAAAATGTGAGAGCTTATCAATTTGTTACACTAGACTGTATAATTACAAAACCCTCGTTATGCTCTGGGTTTTTACAGTAGTTTATTATTGACTTCATCTGGGGTTTTTAATTGATAACGTTTTGGTTTGGGKTTTTTTTAATCAATCTGGAAAAGGAATGACTAGTGAGATAGAAAATAAGAAAGTCAAGTTCACAGAAAAAAAGTGGGACCATAATGATACCTTATCAAGCTCATGAAGTGGATCACAGTGACAAATGAAGTTGCAGTTTGGAATGTGAAAGACAGCATAGGTAGAGAAAGCGAAGTATTACAACTTTTTAATTACCTGTGTCAATCCAGGTCTGAGTTCTGGGCATCATGGGCAGATACTCTGTATTGCAAGTTCCTTAGGATTTTGAAAATGCTAATAAAAATAGTGAGACAGCAGAAATATTACAGTGAGATTGAAGAGAATGAGAGGTTAAAATAGCTACAGTGRTTATTAATGGAGGGAAAATTGATGGAGAACTTCTATTTTTGTCTTGTAGCTTTATAGGCCCAGTTTTAACATTTGTCTGTAAAGCAGAGGTGACAAATTCAGATTTGATAGAAACATTTTTTCATTGAATGAATGGCACTCAATGCCACCAGAAGTAACTTGAGGAGAACAGCTGAACTAGATGTAAAAATAAAGTGGATTATTGTATCAATGAAAATTGATAGAATTTCCAGAATTAGCAGAATTGGTAATGCCAAACTCTTTCCCAACAAGGTAGTATTTTTTTCTGTCCTTCAGACATGTTTCCTTTCAGTGAAGAGCCCAACTTTTAGGGGAAAAATASTTCTGCCTGTTACCACCTCAATTATGTACAAGCAAGTGCATAATGTGAGCCCCAGGGCCAGAATATCATGCAGCTCCAGCAGGAGTTTATCACTACAAACCTCCTGCTTCCCAAGAAGAAATTTTGGTCAGTCAAGGTGATATTTGTGCTTTGCTGGAGCAGGCTTGAGGGAGTAATTTGCTGTGTTTTAGCTGGTGGAGAATGTGAACTACAATTCCTTAGGGCAGAAGCTGCTGCCTCTTGAGTSGTGCCACATGCAGGCACTCTGCTTTTATCAGTTTCCAAGGATGCTGAATTTATAGGTAGTAAATGTTTTGACTCTTCTAACAGAAAATGCTCTTCAGCTACTATTTTGTTTGGATAGAGGCAAGGTAGTGGGATGAAACAACGATTTTGTTCCCTCATCTATTTTTTGAACTAAAATTCAGGAAGAAAGAGTGGGAGAAGTTTTAGGTGCCTACCATAGGATCAGCTATTAAATGTCTTCAAAMTTCACTCAACAGCAGCTATCCATGCAAGAAAGAGCAGCTGTGGGAAAGAGGTGACCACTGCCCACAGTCAGCAAGTGATTACCAGGGTGAAGTAGCTGAGGTTGTAAATGAGAGGCAGAAGGGGGTGACAAGTTGTCATTTCATGGGGTTTTCAGCAGTTGCCTGGCAAAAAAAGGGGATTAGGATCTTGCACCAGTCACTGGGGAGCAGAATAACAGAGTGGAACTGCCTCTAGAGGTTTGATTGGAAAATCAATGTTTTAGAAAATCAATTATACTGGAAGCCAGCTCTGTATTTGACAGATAATCCTGGACTTCCAGAATGAGGGGAATACATACTGGTGTCTGTGTTACCTTTACCTGTCTGTTACCTGTGCTGGCTAGATTTAAGAAAGTTTGGAGTTTGGTGTTTTAATTTGTGCAGCTCATATGTCCTTAAATATGGCTCGTTAATCTCTGGCACTGCCAAGGTTATGGCTCTGCTGTAGCTGGCAGTGGAGCTGGCAGGGAGCACCAGGGGCACCCTGCAGTCTCGCCAGGTGAAAAGTTATCGCCATAACTGTGCCCTCCATGTGAGAGGAAAAG